CGCCGGGCGCCGCTGGAGAAGCGCCCACCCCGCGCTGGGCCGGGCCGCCGGCGGGCGCCCACGGGCTCCCGCGCCCATCGTGCCGCGCGCCCCTTTGTGCCCGCGCGGAGCACCGCGCCCGCATGGCGGCCCCGGGGGCCCGCACGCGGCGGGAGAGCGCGGAGTGGGGCCGGCCGCGTCCTCCAGCTCGGGCCCGCCGGGCGCCGCGGCGCAGCGACTCGGGCGGCGGGAGGCTCGGCGGAGCCCGCGGCGGGCGGGGCGCTCGCGCCCGGCGGGGCCGGCTCGGCGCGGAGAAAGGGGCGTCGGGCCCGAAGCAGGGGGCGGAGACTGGAGGGGGCCGCCGCGCCGGGAGCGGGAGGCCGGGGGAGCCGCCGCGCGGAGGGGCGCCGCTCCCGAGTCTGCAAATGGAGCGAGGCAGGCCCGCGGCGGCGGCGGCGGCGGCGGCCGGGAGCCGCCGGGTTCGGGCCCCGCCGCCAGGGGGCGCGGCGCCCCCTCCCTGGGCGTCCACGGCGCGTTCGCAGTTCCCGCGGCCCGAGCGGACGGCGGGCCGGGCGCCCGACCCGGGGCCTCCCGGCCCCTGTGCGTGGTGAGGCCGCTTCCCACGCGGACTTCGCCCCCGCCTTATCGGGGAGTCGTGTTGCAACGCCTGGGAGGGCCTTGCGTGCCGACACGGATGTTTTGCTACAAGGCGTTTTGTACGGAGGTAAAAGGGTTCGACTGCTCAGGTGTGTCCGCGTGAAGAATTTGAAATGAAACTCACGAGTAAAAGCAGAGCCTTTAAAGTTCTGCCACATAAAACCTCCGCTCCTGAACGCGGGCTCTTCCCGAGACAACCTCCTCGTTGGAATCGTTTAGCAGAAGGTTCCTGTCGTCCCTTCCCTGCACATGGGAAGTACTAGTGACAGCCAGAAGAGACCACTTGGCACCTCGGAGGCGGGCTGCGTCCCAGTTCCACGCCAGCACATCTTCCGCTCACTGTGTCTGGTCACTCCCTTTGTACCTCCTGGGCCCCTGAGCATCCCTCCCACGACCGGAGGAATAGCAGAGTGTCCAGTAATTAGGAAGAGGGAGATTCAAAAGCCCCTGCGGGAATGCCCCACCTGCCACTTCCTGGGGTCGTCTAGAAAGACCCTGAACCACTGAGGGAGCAGCGTGCTCTTAGGAATTGTGTTGATCCTGATGGAAAATTTAAGGACGTCTTTTAAATACCTCAGATTTCATAACCTACAGGTGAACGTTGCTAGCAACCAGCAAAAATAATCCAGTGTCCTGCATGGAAGGTTGGGGTGTAGCGGTTTTTTCTGGCACCCATTAGTAAGGTGTCTGTTACCCTTACTGTCCATTGTGCCCATCACTGGCTAACCTAAGTTTGGAAGAATTATTTGTAGAATTAGTCTCTATCTTCTTGATGGTGGTTACAGGAATGACTATGTGTGTGTTTCTTTCATAGACCTGTATAACCCCAGAGTAAATCTTACTGTATGGTAATTAAAAAAATAATGAAATTTAAGGTCACAAAAGAATACATGAACCAAGAAAAGTTTCTCATGTGCTTTGCGAGCATGGCCTTGCTCTCGCCGTGAAAGTCCTCCCCCAGATCAGACAGTTGCTCTTCTCTGCCTTGTGGTGCTCCTGTGCCTGTCCCAACACTGTTCCAGCACAGAGCTCCTGTGCTTTCT